TTCCATTATGTGACTGTCCATTGTACTATTGATTGGTATTTCAGTAGTGTTCAGCTTGAGCTTATTATGCAGAGTGCCACAATAAACATTCTGGTATGTTATCCTGATGATCAATGTGTGCATTTTTTGTTGGATGTATACTTATGAATGGAATTTCTAGGTCATAGGGTAAGCATATGTTCAGTTTTAAAAGATAACGCGAAACAATTCACAAAGTAATTCCCACCAACAAGCTATGAGAGTTCTAGTTGCTCCACATCCTTATTGACACTTCATATTTTTTTGTTCTTTTTCACTTTGTTCATTTTAAGGGAATGTGGTGGTTTTTCATTTTGGTTTTAGTTTGCATTTCTCTGAAGACTAAGTTGAACATCTTTTCATATGGATATCCTTTTACTGTGGAGTGTCTTTTCAAGCATTTTTTCTATTTTTTTGTAGGTTTGTCAAACCTACAACCAATTTATTGATTTGTTATAAATTCTTTACATATCATTGTTGTGGATCTAATTTCTTTTTTGTTTTTATTGTTTTAGCGCATATTAGAAGTGCACAAGTTATTTGGGACTTGTATTTTAAAATAGACATAGACCTACTCTTTAAGCGCGCAACAGGAATACATACATAATTTCATTCTGCTGCTTGCTATTTGCATATAGCATACCACAAAGCTTAATTAAAAAGACTATAAGGTAGCAAAGAATTAGAAGAAATATAATCTTCTTCAAATATATTGTAAAAAATAGAGTGATTTTTGTATCTTCATCTAGTATACATGTTCTTTATGGAAAGAGCGTAGGAAAAATATTTTCCCTGCTTAGATTTATGTCTCACTTATGGCATTTTAAGGTAATTGCATATTCTGCAGGGTGAATTTTTTCAAAACTATGTGGTTGTTTTTAAGGCAAATTTGAATTAATTAAGTTTGGAATTAAATAATATAAAAGAAGTGATATATTTTCATTTTTAAGTAATAGAAATATCATAGTGTTAAAAGAATCAACACCCATATAAATTCAAAGCTTATGGCCTAGTAAATTGCAAACTCTGTTTACTATTTTTTCCCCTTGGCTCTGCCACAATATCTGGCAAACAAATCCTTTGTTAAGATTCATTCTGAATTATGCACTTGGAATGATACAAGGTTGCTCTGATAAAATGGTACAGCCTTTTAACTAGATAAAACCTCTTAAAGCCCCCAAACCTTGTTATTTAGTTATTTAAGTGGAATCTTTCTGCATATATTACATGCTTCCCTGCCCTTTTAAACTGAGTCAACTAAATATACTTATTCTTTTCTTACTAAGGCACATCTTTGCAAACAATCTTTTCTTTCTCTCTCTCTCTCTTTTTTTTTTTTTTTGCTTTTAAAATGCTACGCATCATTGCTTTCTGAAACACAGGTGGCATGGAGTTTTAGACAGAAATTGGATTGGTAGTCAGGAGGTTGAATTCTAGTCCTGCACATTTTATGAACTTGACCATCATTTAAACTCTGTGGGCTTCACTTTCTTATGATATAAACTAAAGGGTTGAACCTAGCAGAGTATCTTTAAGGCTCCCTGTGGCTCAAAGACCTAGTCTGAGTATTCAAAGGGACTGTAAAATGTTGCAAATGTCATTTTCAGATAAGTGGATCTCAACATTTTTTTTTCACTTTTTTGTTTTTTTTTTTTTATTTCAGCGTATTATGAGGGTATAGATCTTTAGGTTACGTATGTTGCCCTTGGCCCCCTGCCAAGTCCGAGCTTCAAGCGTGTCCATCCCCTGCATGGTGGGCATCACACTCTTTCAACATTTATTAATATAATGTATGTGTATTGTATGTGAACCAGAATCCACTTGACTACTTATCATGAAATGATCAGAACAATGAGCAATGAATTGAAATGAATTGAGAAATGTTATTTTTGTATTGATTATGCTAACTATTTGCTAAGGACTGAGACCCCAAGTTCTTTATAATATGTGAAATTCTCATGGGATTGCATATTGCCAAATGGAGCTTACTGTGTAATAGTTGGTCAGTTTTCATCTTATCAGCACTCTTATTAGCAGTAGATAAGAAGGACTGTCAAGAACTTTGCCAACATTTGGACTTTTTCTCTTTTTTTTTTTCATTTTTTGTCAATTTCATGGCTACAAAATTATATCTGAATATAGATATTTACCTTTCCCTGAATACTAATAGGATTGAGCATCTTTTCACTTATTTATAGGCCATATATATCTATTTTTCTATGAAATTATTTTATATTTTCTTTTGATTTAACTTCTTACTCTCCTTGTGGTATTATTGATGAATGGATGTTCTTAATTTTAATGTGGGTAAATTTATCAACATTGTATTAGTGCTTTTTATATCTGCTTTATAAATCCTTCCATACTTCTGTGCCATAATTTCTTGTTTTACAAAATTTTTTACAGATTCATCCCTCAAAATTAAATCCTTAATCATGTAGAATTTATTTTTGTGAACAATATGATGTAAAGATTCAATTTCACTTTTTTCATATAGATAACCAGTTGTACCACCGTCATTTAATGACTAATCTATCTTTTGCTTACTTATCTGCAATGTCTGACTTAATATAAGTTGTTTTCATGTATGCTTAGGAGTATTTTAATTTTGATTATATTTATCTCCTCCTTTTATCTATCTTAAGACATTCTCTTAATTACCATAATTTTCTAATAATATCCATCTTAACACAGTCAAAGTTGCTTCATCTCCATTCTCTGGCATATCTTGGTTATTTTGGGCTTGCTCTTTTTCCCATAGAATGTGTATAATCAGCTTTTTGCATTCATTTAAAAAATTCATAGAGATTTTTATTATAATTTTGTTGAATCTACAGAACTATGTATATATGTTAAAACATTGATTGTCCCTAATAAATAGAACACTACAATCTATCTAAAATATTTTATTAAGCCAAATAATTTTTATAGATCATTTTAGTCTTTCAATTTATATAATACAATCATATGTGCCACTGTGACATTATTTTCTTCACTTATAATCTTTATAATGTTCATAGATTTTTCTTGTCTTCCTATATTAGCTACAATTTCAAGGACAAAATTGAATAGAAATGTTGATAATGGGAATTCTTGTACTCTTTCTTATCTTAGAATAGTCTAGATTTCACAATTCAATATAGTATATGTTGTTTTTGCTCATTTATCATATTCATTACATAAGACAGGCAAAGAAAAAGGCATCTCCCATTTCTTGCCAACTCAACAACTTTACCAGATGTTTGCACTGATATTTCATTTTATCCTCATACCCATCCTGAAAGATTGGTATCACTAACCACTTTCAGAAAACGAGATTTAAAGAGGTGTGTAATTGCCCTCGTGACAGCTAGTGGCTAAGCTATGGTGTAAACTCATTTTGGTCCACATTTTTTTTCCTCCCAGAAGAGCAGTAATTTTTAGTTTTGTTGGTGCCCAGTATTGAATCGCTTGCCATGTTGCACCGACCAGGAAAGCAGACACATAGACTGTAATTAGGTCAGTTTTGTTCATTTCACTATCACTAAAACCTAGTACTGGGCTTGTCCCTTGGGAACTGCTCAGCCAATATTTTGCATGTTTGGGAGGGACCCACTAGTATGGACTGGTTTGCCCTTCCTCTCTTATTCACCATGTGGTTGATTTGGCCTAACTGCTAGTCTTCGCTGATAATTTACCTGGAGTCAGTGACTGTTATTCCAGGGCTCAATCCCTAGGTGTTCACTGTCTTACTAAGAGCCTTGGCTTGACTACTTATAGCCACTTATGGCATTTTCTGCATCCAGGGAGTCAGGTCATCTGGCACTGATGAATTGAAACTTTGATTTGAGTTCTGATTCCAGGACATGAGTTATTTGACAATCAAATGGAAATAGTCCTGAATTAAAAACCTGTTACATGGGAAGAGTGTAAAGCCTGCTGGTATATGAGTCCTCCAGTGAGCATAGTAATGATACTATATTACCAGTGGAATAGATTAAGTTTCTCCAGTACTATTTATATTAATAATTCTATGTTTCTGATTTATCGGAGGCTATCTCATTTTCCTTGGCACAGTTTCACCATTGCCTAGGAAGTCAAGGGAGCTTTTAGATTACAGTCTTCCTTTGGTTAGACTTACTTCATCAGTGGGAGAATACTGCTTTTTCCAAATAGCCACATTTCTCTTAGATCAGTCTAGCATCTTGTGGGATCCACATTGTTACTCCTAAATATGGCAAAGGCTGAGATATATAGAAAATAGTGAGACTTCATTTACATGCTATATCCCCATGATGATGTGCTGGAATTCTTACCAATCTCATAAAAGCCAGCTCTTCCATCTGCTTGATGAGACCAGGGAATGAATCAATGATCCAGCAGACTCGATTAGTCTTTCTATCACTACTCCCTCCATCTGGGGGAGAAAATGCACATGCTCTAGAGGAGTTCTGTTTACTCCCAGACCAGATTCTATGTTTTTCGTCTTTCTTTTCCCGTCACCATATAATTTGTTCTGGTCTCTCAGTGATGAAAATATTTGGCTCCTCATTGAGAAAGATCTTTGAATATAAATGTCTTACTGAAAATTAAAATAATGCCTCAGTTGGATGGAAAGAATGTTGCAAACATGTTGGAATCCATTGTTGCCAGCAGAGTGGAACCATCCAATATGCAATTTGTGATACCTGATTCCTGCCCTGGAGACATCACAGAGCTACTTTCTCTGATCAGAGCTCTTGCAGCGATACTTAAAAATTAATTGAATTTTCAAGACTGTCAGCTTTAGCTACTGTATTTGATGGTCCAATAGCTGGGGAGGTTTATTAAAAATATACTGCCACCTACAGTATTGTTTGACTCTTTGACAGTGTTCTTGTTATGAATATTAATTAGGCAAAGAGTTAATTTGGGGCCTGATTAGTTATCGTTTCTGTTAAGATCTGTTGATTTGCATAATATATATTTTTTACTTATGCGTGTATCTATCTGTTTTCCTCTAG